CCCGATCGAACCCGGGATATTCGCGGCAAACATTTTTGCTTGGCCGTGTATTAACCCGCGCGCGAGCGCCGACGACCATTGTCGACGTAATTACGGCCACTTTGCGCGATGCGCGAAATTATTTCGCCATTCCTGTGTCTGCTACCTTGTTCGAGCAACGTTGCTCCGATTTTAGTTGGGGGATTTTTCTCCTTTTTATTTTTTATTTTTTATTTTTTTCCTTTCGAAATAACATTTTTGACGGTAGATTTCGAATGATTTTCCCGTAAAATTGAATTTCAATTTTTTTTTTTTTAAATTTTATTCCGGTCGTTGCAGAAGTACGTAATTTAAAAAAAAAAAAAAGAAGGGATCAATCGAAAGGCTCGAAGAATTGTAGCGATTTTTTATTTTCCAATCGATAGGGAATGGAATTTATATTTATAAATATAATGAGATCAGAGAATTTTAGATTATCCCCTTTACGTTACTTTCATTTCTTTCTTCTTTTCATTTAGAAGAAAATAATTTTAATTATCTAATATTTAAATATATCGAGTTATCGATAATAGAAGAATATGATATGATATGTTATGTAGATTGTTGGAACAATATAAAAAATTTTTAACAATTTCCTGTAATTATTCGTTTACCATCCTGATATTTTCCCCCATTTCACCATCTGTTGAGAATAATAATCATTAATCGATTAAAAAAAAAAAAAATTGAGAAAATTTTCGGCGGCCGCATAATTAACCCCCGCGTTTCACCCCCCTCGATAACGAAGAGGCACGCGAAGGGGTAATTTAATAGGAAATTAAACCCCATCGGTGATTTTGCGACGAGTCCTCGCCACTGAATTGCCTCGCCCTCGATCATCCGCAGCCAGCCCGTGACATTAATTGTTCGCGGGTTAGTTTCAACCCCGCTCCCTTTCTCGCCATCCCTCTCCCCTCCTCCGACAACTCTCCACGGATACTCCACAGATATTTCGAGCAAATATCCACGACAGACATCCACACCACTTTCGTCATCGGTTTCATCCTACTTTACGAAACTTGGAAACACGTTTCCACCCCCTCCAACTCGAGGAACAGGCCTCGAATTATCGTAAACCTCGAGACAAATTAGGAACTCGAGGGCGGATCGAATGGCCTATTAATCGTGTGTTAGTGGATCACATCGAGCGTCATAATTCAATCCCTTGTCGAACTTGTGAATATATTTCTTAAATTTTTTTTAGCTTTAAACTTGTAAAATCTTATAGAATAAGAAAATAAATATTTTAGGATGTATATATGGTACATTTTGAAGAGAATGAAGCAAAGTTTCAAAGGAAAGGATGTTTAAGAAAAAGGATTATTGATAGAGAGGGAATAATATTTGGATTTAAGAAAAGAACTATAGCTTATTAAGGAGCCATATAATTTGCTTCTTTTGATTACCGGCCAATTAATAACGATGAATTGAACGTGGAGGAGATAGGTACATATAAGGCTTTCCACCGTCCTCATTTTCGTAGCTCAATATTCCTATACACTCTCATATACTCCAGATTCCAACGAAAATATTCCAAGAATCGTTACGATTCGACTTTGAATTTTCACTAATTTTTAAAAATTAACTTTTAAAATAATACATTAATACATTAAAATACTTTTAAAATAATATACATTCTTAAATTATACTTGACCCAATTAAAATAATCCCAATTAAAATGCGATTAATTTTTGATCGTTAGGTTAGAACGCGTCCAACAATTGATAAGAAGAAAGAAACGAAACGAAAGGAGAAGGAGACGAAAGGAAAGAGGAATCGTATAAAATGGAAGGGAGAGAGAGAGGATAAACGTTTAATATTTTTCTCGTAAATCTTACGCCTCTCCTCCTCGTCGGTGGACTCAGCGTCCAAGAACTCTCTGTGAGGATCCGGGGGCGGCTTATCTTTATT